CCCAGTTCTGACGAAGTCTGCGGTGATTGGCGGACGAAACGCGTCAACGTAACGACGTCACTACGCTCGGCGTCTTCATAAGGTGCGGCGCCCACGAGGTGGGAAGGAACGGCGGTGTCACAGCTCCCTGCTAGGAAGGCACAAGGCCCTCTGAAAACTACCATAAGGCTACTATTACAGCGGTCCGCAAACGGCAATCCCCTATGGGAATATATCTTCCACCGGTGGCAAGTTATTTTAGCTCACTGCTGTTTAGACTCATAGAGCATATATGGAGTTAAGAGGGTATGTTATATGTGCCTAATTTACCCTATTTTTTTCGGGGAATTTTTTGGAAATCCTCTTCAGAGGATTAAAAAATATATATATACATATACATATGTAATCCTATTGAGGCACTGTTTGCTGTGACAAAGCCATATCCTATATAAACCGCTTTATTTTTTCTCAGATTGAGTAATTTTTGGAAACCCTTCATTGGGGGTATATAGACTCAGGTACTCACGGCCTGCTACATACATAATATATGTGTTGGGAATTACGTATTGAGACCACCTGGCTTCCCACCCCCATATGCATCTTTAAACAAGCATCAAGGACCTGATCCTATTTCAAGTCGACGGGAGTCCTCTTGATCCTCATTGATGGTAATATACCCATATTTTGTTTCTGTTTTCAGGGTTTAATTGATGCTTTGTGATCCATATTATAATTTTTATATATATCCCCAGAATCATTTGGTACTGTGGACTTTTTTTTCACTTGGGGTGGTTACCACAGGAAGTCTCCACAATTGAGAAGCGGGTATGACAGGCTTACAACTGAGAAGGTAATGAAGTGCTCACTGACCACTTTATAGGGAGGTTTGGTGGGGCTTAGCTGTGATTAGCTCCTATATCTTCATATATATTTATTTCTATTTTTATGTTCCAGTTTCCACGGGCCAGAAGGCTATTCTACACACCCTGGCTCATACTGAAAATATACTTACCGAATATATGGTTTATCCTGATACAAGCTGGAAATCTATGGAAACCTAGAACCAAAGCCTCACCACTACCTTACATTGCCTTTATGGTACTCTATTTGCCAAAATGACCCAGAAATGAGGACGCCAAGTGCTTTTAAAATGATTTTATTTGTTTGATATGTACACCGTGCTCATGTTTAACCTCCCTATGATCCATGTGATCGAATAAAATACTGTTTGTAATCTTTGAACCCATATTACTCCGCGTGGATCATTTAATAACCTCCTTTCCTTGGGTAGGGGTGCTCTGGTCACACTACCATATTGTTTAGTATGCTTGATTTTATACACCTGTGGCCATGGAGGTGATTGGAACATCTGAATCCAATGATTTGGAGGGCTGGCCCAATACTTTTGGCAATATAGTGTGTATATATATATATGTACAGATGTATACATAATGTACAAAATTCAGGTGTCAGGAACATGTACAGTGTGCAGGGGTGCGTAATATTCAGAGTTCAAGGCTCAGCAATGTTTAAAGTACTTGTAAACCCTTACATATACTCAGTGAAGTGAATGGCCCCAGGTGATACACAGAGATGAAACAAATCCCACATAAGTTGTACCTGTTTATCTGCACCCATCTTTCCCCTACATCCCTTTAAAGTGCAGAATTTACCCAGGATCTCTCAGCTCTGAAAAGCAGGGGGGCGGGGAGCTGAAGTCACATCAGTTTTTTTGAATGAGCTGGGGATCGCGTCTGGTTCCCATGGTGATATCGGTAGTAGTTGACTTGTGAGTCTTGGTTCCATCCCCTCTGACAAAGTCCAGCCCCAGGACGTAACATGTATGGGGGGTGAAGCATAACCAATGGTATCACTTACGGTCATCCAACACTGCTGTGTATTGTGATTTATTGCTGTCTTTCCTGTACTGGTGGACAGTACTGATTTTGTAAGTGTGATTTTATTTCTTTCAATACATTTTTTAAAACGGAGAGCACTATCCTGTTGCCCTTTTGACTTTACATGCATTCCAAATGCCACCATGGAGTCCGGCGTTCAGACTTTCAGTTATAGTGAACTCATCTGTGAATTACCCCATAAGGTACTGTGTGTTTTGACCTACCTGTTAGCTCAGGAGTCACATCCTTGAGATGAGTGGCTGGTTTGCTTCTTGGTGGTGGGAATATGCACTTTGGCTGTTGGATAGCTTATTCATCATTCCTTGTTGGCTTTCTTTGCAGTAGATTCTTTCTCATGTTATAGAGACTTATATTTATATATCTGTTTGCGCTGCACTTTCTTTTTGTTTTTAATGGTTCCTGTACTCCATGATGTGGTGTGTTCCCTTATTTATTTATTACAGGTACTTATATAGCGCCGTCAATTTACACAGCGCTTTACACACATATTATATATTCACATCAGTCCCTAACCCTCAAGGGGTGTACAATCTAAGTCCCTAACTTACAGTCATACATACACATACTAGGGCCACTTTAGACAGGATCCAATTAACCTACCAGTATGTCTTTGGAGTTTGGGAGGAAACCCACGCAGGCACAGAGAGAACATGCAAACTCCAGGCAGGTGGTGCCATGGTTGGGATTTGAACCAGTGACCCTAGTACTGCCAGGCGGAAGTGCTAACCATTTAGCCACTGTGGTTCCCTTGATCTCATGCTCCTACGGTGGCTTGCAGAACTGGACCTTTCCCCCCTATTTATGTATTACATGGGGTGGGAGGCCGGCCCAGGGCCAAAAGCCCAGGAACTGAAATGCTGGAAGTTAACCCTTCCCCAGGCTAGTAAGCTGACTACCTTGAAAGAGCAATACACTGTAGGCAACCTGCCTACAAACCCAAATATTTCCCTATAACTGTAGTGGTGAAATCATCACCGTGCTGTACATAGCCTGTGAAGAGAGAGAGACCTAGCAGTCTCCATCCACTACTGGAAAAAAAACAAAAAAAACAGGAGGGGGTGGATACAAGACCTGTCACCCTGTGCAAGACTTATGGCTCGTGTACTGACGTTTAGGAGCTGTTCAGCATTTTTTTCAGCAGCCCCTGAACTCCCCCTAATGTTTTCCTATGTGTCCATGTGCACATAGTCATTTACAGGCAGTTAAATTTACAGTTGCTTTTTTTAACGCACCAAACTTGCGTTCAGGAGCGATTAACCGCGTTTATAAACGTTTGCATTTAGAAGGGTTTTTTTTAAAATGTTCCATGTCCAGATGCTGTCCAAAACCTTTTTTCATCATCAGAAATGCATCAAAGTATTTTCCATGTATTCAAATGGACCCAGTACACCAGCACAGTCACTTCCAGGTTTCGCATGAAGGAAAAAGTGGTAGAATGTGCTGCATTATGCTCATGATGGGATCCATAGTGAATACAACCAGAAAAGACAGGTCATCTCAACACATACTGCTCTCTCTGCTTCTGCTCTCTCTATTTCTTTCAAAATGTCTGAAATAGTTAATTTTTTACTGTTTTTCAGTGCATTCTGGGCATTTGGGAAGGTCTCCTGAGGTTATCTTTTAAAAACGCTTCTAAACACACATAAACAGGTATGCAAACATGACAGGCATTTGGGAAGTGCTTTTAACGCTTCTCAAACGCCTATAAAAATTCTGCACATGGCAGCACAGAGTGCTGTTCACATGGAAGCGTTAGAGTCGCGTCGTGGCAAAACGGACACCTCGGGTTGAGTCAGGAGGAGTTGAAGCCTCCCATTCAAGTCTATGGTGCCTGGCAGGCTTTTGAGGTGCAGATGCGACGTGGTTGCGGAGCGTTAATACCATTTAACTTCATTATAGGAGTTTGTGGTGCGGTTTTATCGCTTGCCAAACGCCTATCAAACACCTTAAAATCGCGCATAGGGCATTTTGGGTGCGTTAAAAATGCTTCACAAACGCCTGTCTAACGCCTCTCAAGCACTATAGGGGCATTTGGTAAGAGTTAGAAATAAAGTCAAGTGTGAATGAGCCCTTAGGCTACGTTCACACTAGCCTTTTTAGCAAGCGACAGGCCGCGTTTGGAAAGCGTTTTTACCGTTTCCCAAACGCCTGGGAAAATTCTGCACATTGCAGCACATGGTGCTGTTCAAACGGGAGCGTTAGTGTCGTGTTGCGGCAAACCAAGCGCCTCTGGTCGAGTCAGGAGTTGAAGCCGCCTATTCAAGTCTATGGTGCCACTCCGCAAACGCCCGGCCGGCCGGCATTTGCGGTGCGGTTGCGAGGCGTTTGCGGAGCAGTAACACCATTCAAACTTCATTATAGGCGTTTGTGGGGCGTTTTTAATGATTAGCTAACGTCTAGCAAACGCCGCTAAACCGCGCATGTCACGTTTGCAGAGCGGCGGACCAATGTTTGTCAAACGCTATAGGGGCGTTTGGCATGAGTTTGAAAAACAGTCAAGTGCGAACGGGCCCTAAGAACAAAAGTGCCTGGTCTTGATTACAGGAACCTTGTACAAAAAAAGTCAGTTGCACACTGGATTATTACCCAGACCTGGAAGAAATCCACACAGCACACTAAGATTGAAGTAAGAATACATACACCCAGGGGCGGACTGACAACTCATGGGGCCCCCGGGCAATAGGGGATCATGGATCATGGGCCCTTGTGTCCTTGCCCAAACTCAAAAAAGCCTATGAAAAAGGTACCAGGGGCATCTCATGGGGCCCCCTACTGACCCCGGGCCCTCGGGCAGTGCCCGAGTTTCCAAATGGTCAGTCCGCCCCTGCTCACGACTCTTGTGTTCAGCCAATATTTGATGTTCCTCTTTGCTGGGTTCAGCTTTCTGTATTATTTCTCTGTGCCGGCAGCAGGGGGCGCTGAGGCGTTCAGTCACGTGCTGAGTGGGTCTGTCGGCGCGGTGGATTCTGGGAGATGTGTGCTGATGCTGCAGTGCCGAGCCTGTGACAAGGAGAAGACTACATTTCCCACAAAGCCTCGCTGCTGGGTTTGCAGAGCAAGGATGGGGTACCGGTGGCTGGGAACGGTCTAATACACCGGAGGATGGCAGCGTGTGACAGGGAGATAGTGTACCATAAGGACAGCTCCCAGGTGACAAATAGCGGACGGTACATGTGATGTACCGGGGGGGTGGCTATGGTGTGTGTGGGGGAGAATGGACGTTCATGTGGCGTGTATGGATTTTTTGTGCATCTAGGCATATGATGATCAGTTCCCTGTGTGGTGAGATCCTGAGGGTTGGTGTACACAGGTGTCTGGTCCTGGTGATCAGATGGCCATAGACAGTGTATGGGTTGGTGTGTGTGGGAAGGATTCCATGTTGCTGGAGGAGTCCCATTAATGAGGGGCACTGATTATTTCTTGTAAACAATGGTGATACATCAGGAGACATCTACCGTCTCCTGGCTGATCTGGAGGAAAAAAAAAATGCTACAATTTGGCATCTGCTTCAAATAGAAAAATGGATTTTTGTCTGCCTAGCAACAAGAGTGTGGAGGCTGAGAGTAAACTAATTCATGGCTCCTGAAGTCCATCATCATTGGTTATAAAGTCCTTTCCGTGACAGGCTCCACTCTGGGCAACTGTCACTTGTATCACCATCCGTGACAATTCCATCGCTGCCTCCCCACTCCACAACATTTCCATTCGTTTCCCTTTAAAATGCTGCAGATTGCCCGAGGGGATGAATGATCCATGTATTATCCAGCTTCATCAGATCCATAATTCACCTCCCATGTCTTATAAGGAGCAGATTACATGGCATGTGAATGTTACCTTCCACAACGTAGTGGTTTGCCTTCCATTTAAGTCCTATGGATGACATTGCCAAAGTAGTGCTCAGGGGCGGACTGACCATTAGAGCACTCAGGCACTGCCCAGGGTCAGTAGGGGGCCCAATGAAATGCCCTTGGTACCTTTTTATAGGCTTTTTTGGGTGTGTTTTGAGTTTGGGCAAGGACACAGGGGCCCTATGATCCCCTATTGCTCGGGGGCCCCATGAGTTGTCAGTCCGCCCCTGGTTGTGCTAAAGCCTCAGCTTTTTTTTTTTAATTACAAATACATCCCTCTTGACTAGCTAATCACTGGGCAAGTATTATGTATGTACAACAATGGTGTTTAAAGCGGAACTTTACCCATAACAACTGATGATAAAAAGAATGTTCTTTAGCAAGGAACATACATTCCACATTAATAATTATGCTACAAAATTAGTGTGTGCTGTAAATCGCCTCCAGCATTGTTCCTGTTTCTTTTTGCCAGAGGCTTCCATTTTGCTGAAGCCCAGAGCCCCTGAGTAGCAGTAAATCTTTAGGCGGTCAGCAGATTGGCCGCTACAAAGTCAGCAAAAAAATAGAGAGCAACTGAGCATGTGTAGAGCAGAGTGAGATGGTGTATTACTGGACTGTAAACAGTATAGGCACTTATTTTTTAATGTTTTACATAGCTATACCTGCAAAAGGATCCAGCATGAAGTGATCTAGCCGGGTACTTACTTATTTCAGGTACTTACATAGCGCTGTCAATTTACGCAGCACTTTACATATATATTGTACATTCACACCAGTCCCTAACCCTCAAGGGGTGTACAATCTAAGGTCCCTAACTCACATTCATACATACTAGGGCCAATTATTACCAGCATGTCTTTGGAGAGTGGGAGGAAAGCATGCAAGTGTGGATTGTGGGACCCCTACTCAAGCACAGGGAGAATATGCAAACTCCAGGCAGGTGGTGCCATGTTTGGGATTCGAAACAACGACCCTAGTGCTGTCAGATGGAAGTGCTAACCACTTAGCCACTGTGCTGCCCCTAGTTCCATTTTAAAGTTGAAACAGTTGCATTCAATTCATGCCATGAATGAAAACTGTCATAGTTTCTTATGCTCTCATCTGAACTGTCAAGCCAACAAATAACTGGTGTTGTAACTGATCACATGTGCAGCACCGTGGCAATTGCAGATCAAACAGAGGCTAAGAAGGCATTTTCCTTGGCTGTTACAAATAGGGGAGGGTTTAGTTCAACATGGTACTTTAACAGAATCAGAATTTTTTGGAGGGGTGGGGGAATACCTTCTTTAGCCCTGGTTTACACTGATGCGGTGTGACATTCACTGAATTTTCTGTGCGAATTCCGCACCGCATCAGAGTCGCACCCCGTTCATGCTAACCGCTGCGAGTGTGTATGTTAACAACACCCTGAAAGCAGTCCGCAAAACACATGCGATGTGCAGAATCGGATCGCATAGGTGTGACTACCCATGCAATCCGATTCTAGTGCGGACTAAAAAAAGGGTCCTGCACCTTTTTGGTGCGTGTGCTCCAATCGCACCGCACACAAATCGCATGCTATTTGCACAGGAATGTGGTGCGGTTCCTGTGCGAATCACATGCGATGTACTGCACCGTATATATGTGAACCCAGGCTTAGGGTCCCCTCCCAGCACTTCCTTATTTCTGGTCTAGTTCAGAATGTCATGTACTGTTCCTGCCTGACCATTAACAAGGGTATCCAGTCCCAGGACACTGCAGGGTACTCTACAGCACATACACCACACCATCAGGATCCATGGTCAGCCACTACCCATCACGGGCCACTGCACCACCCAGAGGAGCTAGACCCCTCCCCCCCCGTGACCTCAGCAGAAGATGGCAGCATGGGATTGGGTGGTGTGTGCGGTGATAAGCTGAACCTGTTGGGAACATCGCTGGATCACCAGGCTTGTGAGTATACTTTTGGGGAATAACCCAGCTATACAGGTAAGAAGTGAGGGGGGACGTGGTGGTATAACCATACAGTTTATCATAAAAAAAGTTATCTTCCTGCAGGTGGGAGTAATCACATTTTCTCAAGCCCAGTGATCACACACTCAAACTGTATGTTGTAACCTAATGGCAGCTCACAAGGCAAGAGGTAGAAAGGAGTGGCTGATCTGTATGAGACAAAGGGGTTGATTTACTAAAATTGGAGAGTGCAAAATCTGGTGCAGCGTTGCATGGTTGCCAATCAACTTCTAACTTCTACTTGTTCAATTAAAGCAGAACTATACTGCAGCAACACAAAACAAAAACACCATTTAACTGCTTCCCCTCCAGAAATACTGCTACAGGACGGCAGAGGTGCGCAAAATCACATATATATATATGCGCGCGCGCAACCTGCGCCACCATTCGTGGCCTCAGTTTTCAACCACCAGGTCCCGGCTGCTGATTACTTGCTGGCACCCAATGATCACCGAGTATGTCTGACGGGGGAGAGAACTGTATGTAAATAATACAGTTCTCTCCCCTGTCAGCCCTGCACACTGCATAGCAGAGCCATACAAAGCAGTGTGCTTACAGTGGAAAACACAGACACAGTCTCATCTTAAAACAGCACACAGTTAACCCTTTGATCACCCCGCATGTTAACCCCTTCCTGCCCAGTGCCATTAGTACAGTGTCAGTGATTTTTATTAGAACTGATCACTGTATTGGTGTCACTGGGGATGTCAGTGACACCAAGTCAGTTGCCCCCAGTGTCCGAATGCCCGCCGCAGTCCCGCTATAAGTCGCTGATCGCTGCCATTACTAGTAAAAAGAAAACAAATTCCAGTGTATAAACTGTCATTTGTAAACACTATAACTTTCACGTAAACCAATTAATTTACACGTATTAGGATTTTTTTTGTTGCAGAATATATTTTGCCCTAAATTAATGACAAAATTAGGTTTTAAAAATTTTTTTATTGGACATGTTTAATAGCAAAAAATAAAAAATATTGTATTTTTTTTTCTCAAAATTGTCAGGTTTTTTTTTTGTTTATTATGCAAAAAATAAAAAATGCAGAGGTGATCTAATACCACCGAAATAAAGCGCAATATGTGGGAACTAAAGGACATAAATTTCATTTGGGTGCAGTGTTGCATGACCGCGCAATTGTCAGTTAAAGTAATGCAGCGCCGTAACGCAAAAAATGGCCTGGTCAGGAAGGGGGGTAAATCCTCTGAAGGACAAGTGGTTAAATAATATTTAATAACTAAATATGATATGCTTTCCTACCTATTTACATAAGAATTAAAAATAGTCAATGTTTATTAAGAGAGGGAAGTTCTGCTCTAAAGTGTTACTAAACCCACTACAGTAAAATCAGTCTGTAAATGCAGTAAAGCATGCAACCTAAGGTGTTAATCCCCTGCATTGTGTAAAAAGGCTGTTTGATCCCGTCTTCTCTGATCCTCCCCTTCTACTGTTCCCAATCCATCTTCTGATCGATCAGATCCTTGGGTGAAAGCTGTACGTGCTCAGTTTGATGTTCTTGAGAGATTTTTTTTCTTTGGAGAGTACATGGAATCCGCACAGGGCCAATCAGCGCTGTCCACACAGAGGGTCAGGGGTTATGCAGCCTCAAAGGACAATCAGGATGAATGAAATCCCCTTATACAAGCTTTAACCAGTGCTTAGCTGGACACTGAAGGAATTCACAAGACTGCTCTAACTGCTGATTTAGCAGTATATATTTACTAAAATAATTGAATTTCCATATTCTGTGTACTGTGGGAGACCAGATATAGTGAATGCAGAGCCCTGGGTTTAGTAACACTAAGCTTTGATTAAAAAAAAAAAAAAAAACAGAAGCTGATTGGTTTCTATGCAGAGCTGCATCAGATTTTGCACTTACCAGTTTTAGTAAGTCAGCCCCAATATATTTACATGAAGTCAAATACATAAATACTAACATGCAGGTAGTAAGGTTTACATGATTGTATCATGTATGGACACCTGAGCATACAACCCCAATTCCAAAAAAGCTGGGAAACTACTGGTCAGGCCATAGCTATTCATGTATTTACACATTTGTAACCATTTGTAACCAGTACTAGATGAGTTTAGAAAGAAGCCATCACTGATCTCTGTAGCAATTCATCCCCTAAATTTGCAGCAAATGCTAATCTCCAGCCTCCTTCAGTCACTTGCTACCTGTTCACTTACTGTATGTATCATTTGTAATATGGCTGGTGTGATGATGACATTGTCAGCCTCACTTTTCAGGGATTTTCTAATTCATGGGACAGTAACTAAGTGCCAGCAGATTGGATGATCACCACTGGGGT